TTTATCTATATTTTTCTTGTTATAAATAAAGTTGAAATGTTATATTTTGTTTTCCCGTTGTTGATGCTGAACTTATTAGTTGAAAATTGAGTAATTGAATAATATCTTCAAGCAAATATTCTCTCACATCAAATGTTCATCCTTCAATTTCTATTGTTGAACAGTCCAAAAATGATTAACGAAATAAAGTTACATCAATTATTGTTAAATAATCCAATCTAAATAAATTATTTATTTCAAATATTTTAACATATCAAACATTAGAATAACTTTTAATTGAAGATAAGCATTAAGCATATCATGAAATAAAACTATTTAAACGATGTAATTTTGAGTCTGATATTTTAAAATGTTTGTCTAAACGGTAGCAGACTTTGTATCATAGAACAGAATTTTTAATTATAATAAAAATGTGAATATTTTAACTTCTCTGTAAAGAAAACTCGTTTTTCAATAAGAAAACTTATATAAAGAAATGCACTATAGCCCGCTTATGAAAAAATGCGTTTCTTTGCAGTAGAATAGCAGTGAAAAATCGTGTTCGAATTCAGTTTTATGTAGGCAAATGTGCTTTAGTAATTATAGTGAATGAAAATATTTTAAATAATATGCGAAAAACTTAAATTAAGAATTTTCGGTCAATCCCACATAATCTAAAGAAAAACGAAAATTTCTTGTGTAAACATGACTGATATCGTAGCAACAAAATGCAACTGTTTTTTTATAGTTTATAATGAAAATTCCCTGAAGAAACTATGAAAAACGCATTTAAAGTACGAATGAAATCAATAAACGCGTTTAAACGTTATTATAATCGGTTTTTTGTCTGCCTGAGTCTTGTGAATTAGACTTTTAGTTGATTTTTTTTTCGATCAATTGATATGAACGATATTATATGTTTTATAAAAAGCGATAAATAGAATTGTAAATGCAGTTATATTATTCACACATTATATAAATATTGAGTAGATGTCACTGGAAGTTGATGGATTCTAGAAATTAGTTATAATTATGCGGTATTGGTCACGCAGACACAGACACTTATGGCTAGTGGCAAAAAAGACTTTCTTGGCATCGTTCTGCTTTGTTCTTGTAGAAATCGTATAGCTTGTAAAAAGATTTTTCATCTATAATTCAATTAAGTTATTTTTTTTTTTATTCGTGAGCTCATCGTTAATATTATTCGTTACATCTAGAACATAATTATGTTAATTTTAGATTACAAGATGTTCTATTTTTATAATTCTAATTGAATAATCGTTATTAATAGTAATATGAAACTGTAAATTTCGATCGAATATCGTTATTGTTTCATATAAATAAAACAAATCATTCATCTTATCAACATGTACAACGGTGTACCACGATTAGTAGCTGATCTTTGGTAAGAATCTTTTCATTTTATTTTCTTATATTAATTTTATTTATTATTATTATTTTCTTTAGTGAAAACGATGATTTTGCTACAATGATCATCGTTGATAGTATATTTGGATTTACAACACATAAGATGAATGTACGTTTTCGACCAAATCGTCGTCTATTACCACAATGGAAATTAGCTGTTGAACAATTTCAAGAACATCTTGATTATCAACGATGTTTTGATGAAGTAACTGCAATTGGTACATGGTATGATCAATTGCTTGCACGAAAACATCCAATTCAGATAACAGCATTTAAAGAACATGTAAGAAAATAAATATATTAAAATAATAAACACAAAACAAAAAAGAATCGAACATCTCTATTTTAGTTGTATCGTTTTCTTCATTTATTTAATAAAAATTCGGGTGTTACACTTCAACCATGTTATCGTTATTCAACAGAAAAATGTGGAGGAAAAGTAGTAGCTACTAAAGCATGGTAATAATGAATTTGTTTTTCTTTTTTTTTCGTTTTTGTTTATGTAAACAGTAGATAGAATCAATTGATTTATTTTAGGGCAGTGAATGATAAGATTGAAATGTTGATTGGTTGTATAGCTGAATTAAGTCCTGAAGAAGAACATGTTTTTCTTAAACCTGGCGTAAATGATTTTTCTGTTATGTATTCTTGTCGTAAAAAATGTTCACAATTATGGCTTGGACCAGCAGGTATTAAAAATTAAATATAAATATTTCTATTCGATTAATTTTATTTTACTCATTTTCTTAGCTTATATCAATCATGATTGTCGGGCTAATTGTAAAGTGAGTAAATTAACCATGGTTTTTTTTTCCTTTGCTTTTTCAATATTATTCTAGTTGTCTATTTTCTTTAGTTTGTAGCTACAGGTATAAGTTCAGCTTATATTCATGTACTTCGTCCGATTGAAATCGGCGATGAAATAACTTGCTGTTATGGATCGGATTTTTTCGGTGATAATAATTCACTCTGTGAATGTCATAGCTGTGAAACGTAATATTCTTTTTTTCTATACAATTCTTTATATATATACATTTAAAATATCTATTTCAGGCATGGTCATGGGGCATTTGCTCGAGTGAATTCATCAATAACAAAATCGTTATCAAATAATGATGTTACTACTACTGAAATAGTTACATCATCTATTACTAATGATCAATCAATAAATAAACATATGATTATTTCAACACGTTTACGTCAAACTGATAAACGTATACGTAAAATTCAGTCAGTTAATAGTATTAATACAATGGAAGAGAAAAGTAAGAAGTTCAATTGATGGGAAAAAAAAGTAGCTGTTTTTTTTTTTAAAAACTTTGTTTTGTCTCTTTAGAAAAACCAACAGAAGAAGAAAAAGCTACAGTACTTGTAAAACAACCAACGGTAATTTATCGAAATAAAAATGGTCAATTTACTGTTCCACCTAGTAGAATAAACTTAACGAATACTGTAAGTTAAGATTTATTATATTGTATACAGTGACTCCAAAAGTTGATTATATAGATTTTATTTCGCTTTTTTTCTGTAATAAGTACCTGACATAAAGAATTCAAATTGTGACTTGAATAGAGAAATTTGTTTCCAACAAAAGTTTAAAGAAAACAAAATTCTCACAGTATTTCCAAAACCGAGGATCTCTAGAGAATCTAAAACTTAGTTTTCCAGCACTCAGAACTCCAAAATAAAAGTTTCTTGTAATTAAACAGGATAATAGAGCAACTAATTCTCTAGACAACGAGATGTCTTCTAGTTCTCCACGACATTTTTCGACTGAACTACATCAATTTCAAGCAGAAGCTCAAAAGTAGATTTTTCACCAATTCCTATGGAAAACCAGACAAAAAAAGGACTTTTGAGCTTTTCTTAAAATTAGTATAGATCGGTCGAAAAACGTTATGAAGAGTTTGGAAACATCTTATTTTCTAGAGAATTAGTTGCTCTGTCATTCAATGTTACAAAGCTGAGCAACTTAACTACACTCATGAATTGAATTGAGTTGCCCAGCTCAGTTGTGTAATCAAAAGCAACTTTTATTTTGGGGTCCTGAATGCTGAAAAACGAGTTTGAGGGATTTTATAGAGACCCTGAATTTTGAGAAGACTATGAAGATTTTACTGTCCTCAAATCTTTCTTGGAAACAAATTTCTCTATTTAAATCACAATTTGGATGTTTTATGTCAGTTATTATTACGGAAAAAAAATCGAAATTAAATCTGTATATTAAGAATTATATTTATTTACTGTATTATTTAGACAATAACAAATATTCCAACAACATCTACTTCTCCTATTCAACCTATTCGAAGCCAATCAAATAAGAAAAAAATAGTAAATTATGATACACGATTGATTATTTAATATGTATTTTGTTTTGTTTTTTTAGTCAATTCGAAAGAAGAAAATAAATAATATTATAACTATATGTTCATCTCAATTATCTTCTTTTCCTTTACTAACACCAAATAGAAGAATACCACGTCGACGACCAAGTAGTTCACATTCATCTTCATCAAAATCATCTGTTATTATGACACGAAATCAACCAACAATAACAGTTACTTCATCCGATTCAGCATTTTTTTCCGATGGTACAAATTCAAATTCACAATCATCAACAATACCAATTAAACAAACTACAGAAACAATATCACAAATACCTCATTTACAAGTAAAATATACAAAAATCACGTTCAAATTAATATTATATATAAAATAATATTTCTTCTTTCATTTATTTTAGACAACAACAGTTCATTCTCGTTCATCTCGTCTTCTTTCACCTGCTTTATCTACTTCTTCATCATCTTCTTCTATATCATCTTCTTCACGAACTTATCCTAGTGGTCGTCAACGAACTGCATCTCAATATTCATCATCATCAACTTCATTAACAACAACGATACATTCAAATAATCCAAATTTTCTTAGTTGGCGTCCAACAATTCGTTCTAATCGTCATTCAAGTACTTCGTCTGTTAGTTCATTATCATCAACAAGTGATAGTGAAAATAATGATACTAGTACAAACAATAATAATAATAAGAAGAATAATGATCTTAATGAAAGTAAAAATGAATTATCTCAACGACCCGTTTTACCTAAATTAACAATTCGCATGAGACCGGATCCGATTTTATTAGATGAACTTGGAAAAATGAAATCATCAAAATCATCTCTTGTTACTATTAAAATTGATAATGGAAAACGATCATTAAAAGAAACATCAATTCATGAAACAACATCATTACGTTCAAGTAAACGTCGAAAAACATAAACAATGAATTTTCATTTTTCACTACTTTACTTCTTATATATATACGTATGTGTGTGTGGCATAGCTCAGATGTTTGCTTCTACTTTTCATATGTATACATGTGTATAGTTACATTTATTTCGTTCTGTTTTGTGCAGTCTAATATCATAAACTTTAGATATTTCATTATGTTGCTTGTCATTAACACAGATAAAATTTAAATATATATATATACATATATATATATATATATCGTTTCTCCCGAATAAAATTTATTTGCTTTTTTCATATGAAAAAAAAAATGAATGATTCATAAACAATAAACAAATTTTTAGATATGGTGCAAATATTAATTCAACAGTGAGTAATTCAAACAATAATTCATCTTTTCAACAATATTTTTTATTTCAAGAGCAGAAAATTCAACAGAATTAATTTTAATTGAATTACAAGGCGCATTAGTATGTTAATTTTCAATTATTATTCATATTCTCTGTGTTAATTCATTGATTATATTTTCTCGATGAATTTTATTATTTTTGAATAATTCTATTTTTTCTTTTTTTTTTGAATATAGGAATATGCTGCTGACAAACAATCATTGTCTGGTGAACGTCTTGGCTTTCTTTTTTTTACACAAAATGTGAGTTTTGACTATAATCAATCGTGAAAACAAAACAACATGATCATTATTATTTAAGGAAATGCCAGTATGTGTAATTGGACAACATATTCTCGATGGAAAAATGGTAGAACTTGACAAACCTTTATTAGTAATGCGTAAACGACAAGTAGATGGAATTAATAATACAAGTTATCAAGTTGAATGTACAATCAAACGAAAATTGCTCTTTCATAAACGATCAAAACCAATCGTGCACTATGCACCAAAGAAATGTTGATCTATTTTTTTTTCTTGTTGAACTCATAATAGATATACAAATGTAAATGTCTTGAAGAAAAGAAAGAAATAATCAAAAAAATATATGTATGTCTGATAAATA